GGGAAATTAAGTTACCAAGAATCAGTGGAGTATTCGAAGAGTTTCCCCTTATGGGAGAAGACAACAAGTGCAACTTCAGCATCACAAAGAACAGAGATCTCATGAGCTTTCTTCAAAAGACCAGCTCTTCTTTTCGAGAATGTCACTTGTCTATTGATCTTGTTCTCTATCCTCTTCAATTGAACCCTACCCCTTCCCATTTTAAGATAAACTTGAAACTTCTTTTACTTACTCTAAAAGAAGCAAACAAAAAACCCCCAAGAAGAAACTACAAGAGAGAGATATAGAAAGAGATCAGGCTTTGGTATGATCCAATTAGGAAAGTTTTTCCTTTATAATAATATAAGACTGTTTTTGAGTCTTCTTTCACTCTTTATTTATGGAGAGATTTGGGTAAGAGTGGTTTTAGGGAATAGCTAAAGCTGGTTTTTTCTTGTTTGCAAAAACCAGAGTGGTTTTTTAAGGATTTGTTGTCGACTTCTCATTGGTTTATTTGTACTATTGTTGGGTCCACGTTTTTTTTTCTTGATAAAATTTGTTAAAAATAAAAATAAAATTTAATTATTTGATAATCGACGTCTCGTGAGGAGAGAGGTAGCATTGTACGGACTACTGGACCATCATCCACAAGTGTCACCTTCGCTTTGCATTGACGGCGGAGATTTCTCTGTAGATCTATGAACAAAATCTGGACCAACAAAAATATCTTCAATCGATTTAATTTTATTAAATTTCTCCTTGTTTATAATTTTATCTAATTCTTTTGGAATAAAGTGAGAACCCTTGTTTTATTAAGATTTATTTATTATATTTAATGTTCAGCGGTAACAGTGAAGTACAAATAGACCTTTTTTTTTGCAATAGATGGTTTTGGTAGAGCTGATAAGCAATTGACAATTGTGTAATGTATTGCGTTCACGGATTTATACGCAGGATTTACGGAAAGTGGAGAGGAAGAAAAATAATGATAAATATGCAAACCTAATTTTTTTTTGAATATGTACTTTGAATGATACACATGAAAGTTTTTTTTTTTGGATCAAAACACATGAAAGTTTTTATAAACTCAAGTTTCAATTGGTTTACTCGTTGCAAATTACTTCGCATTTCAACCATCTGTATTTGGTTGGTGTTAGTCATACCAACTAAAAAAAATGTGCCGGTTTAAGACATTTAAATATGCTTCAAATCAAGATTATCCTTCTTTAAGTGTACTGGTGACCATGTTTCGAATATGGTTTCAATTGTTTAATAGGTCAAATTTGCGTTCGTTTACATGTGAACAAAAAATCATTTAATTTTCATATAAAATATTTTTGCAAGATACAAACACAAAATAATAACAATAGTTTTTTATTTAGTTACAAAAATATACGTAACCAAACGAAAATAAACAAAATAGAAAACATGCATTTTATCATATTTGAATTCGGATTGGAACATATCAGCAACACGAGTACAAATCACTTGATGTCTTGGTCCATATTTGAAATACTATATTATAATAATTTCAAATTTCACAAAAATAGAGGGTCACACTAATTAACAACACAAACATAGATGGTTTTTATTAGTCAAAATAAATTACTTTCACCACTTTCCCTTACCTTTATTTTTATTTATTTGAAATTTCTATATTCTGCACTTTATATATAATTAAATTAATTTTAACGGAAAATCTTAAAATTGAGGACCGAATAGTACATGTTTACTTGTAAAAAATGTTATAATTACAAGCAAGTACTAAGAGAATAGTTAAGTTGATATTTCACATATTTTTAGTGATATATATTATTTAATTTCTTCATATCTAGCAGTTATCTTAAATTTGGTATGCTATGACCATATATACCAAAATGATCGTAGTTATATAACCAAATTTAAACATGTACGTCCTTAGATTTGAAATGATACATGAGTTATAAAATAGAGTATAGAGAACCCAGTTTGATGATAATATACTATATATGTATATGATATGTTTATGGAGATCATGAGCAAAAGTAGTAAGCAACGAAAGCAAAAGTAGAAATATAACAAATTGAGCAAAACTAAAAGAATCTAAGCTCGTGGCCTCCAAGACAACCTTCCAATAGTATCCATTATTATCTTTGGACAATTACAAAAATGCCATTTTTGTGTGTATATTTGTAAGAATACCATTTAGGGGTGTCCATTTATAAAAATACCACTAATTATAGATTTATAAAACCTATATCTTAAAATTCTAAACCCTAAAAAATGTTTCGACACCTAGAACCCTCTAAACACTCAAAACTAAACTT